AATTTAGTGGAAGGAATATTGGACCAAAAATTGTCTTCCCCAATACACCTCTCGCATGCTGGGTGCCTTCGGGTGAATCACAGAATTGTTCCTTTGTTTGCTTTTCCCATTGAAAAAGGAAGTGATAACAGTTGTCCTTGTTAAGCTTTGTGAGAATAAGATGGAATGTGAGTTCAAAGGGGAAAATATATTATTTATACATTTTTGAGAGACATATGTTGTATGGTATACATGTGCAGCTTTATGTAGCACATACATAAAGTTATATATGCTGTCCCTGCTGTTCTACAGATCTAGTGTCTTTATGGTCCATCCTTTAATCCTCTCTGATTCTATGAGTCCTATGATTTACTCAGGCATGCCTGTCACTTTAGATGCTGTATTCCGATGACCTCTACATTTATACTGCCAACCTTGACCTCTCTCTTGAGATCAGGTTCTGTAGTGCCAGCCTCCTACTGGACATGCCCACATGCACGTCTCTGAGCACCTAGAATGACCGCTTCTAAAACTGAAATCCCATCTGGGGACCATTATGCTCGTCCTGCAGGTCCTTTCATTCAGTCTGTCAAGCTGGGAATTTTGGATTCAATGTTTTTCTGTTTTGTTTTTTTTTTACCTTTCGCATGTCTTTTATTGGTGACCAGATTGTTTAGAGTATGCTTTCTAAAAACCTCTTGAATTCAACCCCTGCTAATCTTTCGAGCTACTCACAGAGTTCAGGCTCCCATCAAGTCCTTCTTAGACTCAGACATAATGGATTCTTGAAAAACATGTTTTTAAGGGGGAACAATAGATGTAAATATCACTAGGGTGAGGTAAGGTTGGTGGGAGATGGTGTTCTGTTGACAGAAAGCTGGAAATTATTCTGCTTCCTATAGGTTCTCTCTGTCTCGTTCAATAACCTCCCTTCACTGTGTCCTAGGCTTCTGGACTAGGAATGTGAGATTCATGCCAGCCCCAGTTTTTAAACCTCTATAACCATGAACTTGGTTAATTAGGATGGAAAAAAGAATTTCCTTTTTCCTGTCAGTAAAGTGTAGACTGAATGGAGCTTCTGCAGGACATGTTTGATGTTTGAGGGTCCGTTCTTCTTGCAAGTCACCCTGGTCCTCATAGAGGGAGCAAAATAGGAAGTGTAATGGGCCCAGAGGAGAGCTTGGACAGGTGAGAGAGCTTGTCCTAAACTGTGACCCCATGAATGAATAGGCTTAAGTCTAAGCTGGATAGAGATCTTCTGGGACCCTACTTACCACCCTGGTAGGATAGAGGATGGTTCTTTTGAAAAACATGTTTTTAAGGGGGAACAATAGATGTAAATATCACTAGGGTGAGGTAAGGTTGGTGGGAGATGGTGTTCTGTTGACAGAAAGCTGAAAATTATTCTGCTTCCTATAGGTTCTCTCTCTGTCTCGTTCAATAACCCCCCTTCACTGTGTCTTAGGCTTCTGGACTAGGAATGTGAGATTCATGCCAGCCCCAGTTTTTAAACCTCTATAACCATGAACTTGGTTAATCAGGATGGAAAAAAGAATTTCCTTTTTCCTGTCAGTAAAGTGTAGACTGAATGGAGCTTCTGCAGGACACTTTTGATGTTTGAGGGTCCGTTCTTCTTGCAAGTCACCCTGGTCCTCATAGAGGGAGCAAAACAGGAAGTGTAATGGGCCCAGAGGAGAGCTTGGACAGGTGAGAGAGCTTGTCCTGAACTGTGACCCCATGAATGAATAGGCTTAAGTCTAAGCTGGATAGAGATCTTCTGGGACCCTACTTACCACCCTGGTAGGATAGAGGATGGTTCTGCCCTGCAGTTTTCCTTAAGTACTTCCGGAATCGCAATGCAAATAACATCTGGTGTTCACTTGGCCCTTTTTGCATCAGCGTTCCTGACAGGCAGTGAAATGACCAGTAAGCAGCTCTATATCACCATTCCTGGTAAATGCCAAAACATGTGAAACTTAACGAAAAGTCAACAATCATGTGAATTGTTAGTCTCTCAAGAGTTTTCCCTATGTTCAATTTTTTTTTCTTTTTGCAAATAACCTTCCATATGGCTACCAGAGAAATTTTTCCAAAATGAAGATTGAACAATTTTTACAAAATGATTTCCTTTCAACTACATTAACTTTCACCATATTTTCAACCATGTTTACCAAGGATACTCAAATGTAATCCATTTTTATGTCCTTCTTCCTTTCCTCATAAGGTCAGTCTTCACATGTCATTTCATCTGAAAACAAGACAAACAAACCTACAAAAATAATACAGCCTCTCAGTCCTTCACAAATCTGACTCCAAAAGCAATGGAAAATAACAGGTTTTCTTTTGAGTACCAAATGATGAAACTTTCTAAAAATCCTCTTTAAGCATCTCTTCTCTGAAGTTCTACCTTGTCAGGCAGCTGCTATACTTTTCTCAATTTCTTTTCTCTCACTATAGTAGTTTAACCTCACTGGGCCACGCCTTTGCTTCTATTGGTGGCTCTGATCATCATTTCTTTATTCAATGCTGTTCTTCCTCTGTTTCTCTCCATTGAGTCCCCATCTGTCACCTTGTTCAGCAAGACAAAGGATTTTGCTCAAGCTTTACCTTGAACCAAACTCAAGCCTGAAAAGGGTGGGGGAGGGGGAAGCATAATAAATATTTATAATTCAATTTTAATTTACTTTTATCTATTTGGAATGAAGTTATGAAATTTGTGAATAATTCACTTGTATATAAAATGGAGTCGATTAAAAGTTAACAAGAGATAAATTCTTCTCACAGAGTCATATCTTATGTGCCTCCTTGAGGAAACAGAAGGTTTTGGAGCTCAGAGGAATTGGATTGCATCTCTGCAAAGCCTCTCTTCTCCTTGATGGAGTCTGGGGAGAAAGTATTACATTAACCGTGGCTGAAATTGCAGATTATTGTTATGCTTTTGGTTGTGACTATGGGATAGAACTGAAGAAGTTTCTTTCTGGAAACACGGAAGTTTCTTTGTCCTGAGACTTTGAACCAGTATCCTGAACCTGATTTCCATGTCCTGGGTTGGGTGCCTGATCCTGAATCAGTTACTGCGGACAGGAAGAGGTGGTGGAGGAAGCTGTGGGTTAGGAGTGAGGTGGGATCGTTTTTCAGTGGTACACAAGTGTTATTATTATTTATTTTAATTTTTGCACTCAGAGATTAAATCGTGGATGGTGACAAAGACAAGTATCTGTCACACTGGCAGACAAAGTCCTGCCTACCCTGTCCAGCTTTCCTGCCCAGCTCCGTTCTGCGGTGGCTGCTGTTTGCTCTTTCATCCATGTCATGCCCTTTCACACCTCTCTGCTTTTTCATCAGCTATTTCTATGGCTGGAATGGTTTTCCCTCTCTTCTCTACCTGGTGAAGATGTTGAAAGTGTTAGTTACTCAGTCATGTCTGACTCTTTGTGACCCCATTGACTGTAGCCCGCCAGGCTTCTCTGTCCCTAGGATTCTTCAGGAAAGAATACTGGGGTGGGCAGCCATTCCCTTCCCCAGGGGATCTTCCCAAGCCAGGGATCAGACCTGGATCTCCTTCACTGCAGGTGGATTCTTTACCTTCTGAGCCACCAGGGAAGCTGAGCTCCTTCCCTCCAACTGATGTTGGCTGCTTTTCCTTCTGTGGTCCAAGAACACTTTGTAGGAAAGAACACTTTGTATTTATGCTGAAAATGACAACATTTATTTTATTTTATTAGGATTATTTGTCCCCTCCTCTATTTTATGAATAACTTGAGGGCTTCCCCATGTCTGTGCATTCCCAGTGATGGACACAAACCAGATGGTTACATTTTTATTCCATAAATTTGTGGGACTGGAAAAGTGGGAACTTTAGATTAATCCCATAATCTCTCTTTCATCAAGGTAGTTATTCTGAACCCGATTTCTGCTACACTGCTCCCAAGGGAATGCTTGGCAATGTGTGGGAGAGCTTTGGTTGTTACAGTGACTAGGACTGGGTGCCACTGACATTCTCTGGGGTAGGACCAGGGGTGTAAATGCTCTGCGGTTCCTAGGACAGTTTTCAAGGAAGGATTGTTCTCTCCCAATGCAGGGATCTTCCCCATTGAGAGCTCCTTATCTAGTCTATTTAGTCTAGAACATAGAAACGAGTGGAAGAATTTGATAACAGAAACTGTGTTCTGGGTCTCATCCACCTTTTGCTCACACTTTGAATAGGAAAGTGTTTTGTTTTGCTCGCATTTGGCTTGAATGATAGGCTTTATCATGTCCACTAAGTCTGTCCCTGGCTATTTTTCCCATATCCTATGAGTCCTGAGGTTGGAGCTGCAAGACTAACCCAAAGGGAAGTGCAGGATAAAAATCTACTCTTCCACTAAAATCTCTTGTCTAGTTTTCTTTAAACCAGGGGAGAGGGACTTGGGAATTAAGTTCTCTGCATTTCTTTCAAAAATATGGCATGATAATTTGATCTTAATGTTTCATCCAGTGCACAGAAGGCTGAGAGTGACTAATTTCAATGATCTTTTAAAAAATCTATTTCTAGCAAGCCTTCTGGCTACAGATATCAATGTGAAAGGTAGCACATTGATTTAAATCCAGTTTTCTGTCACAAGGTGTCAGAAAGCCTAAATGGGTCTATCATGGTCTCTTAGGTCCTTTTCTCGGAAGGACATCTTTTTGTTCCATTTTGACACTGACGTGGCCATGGTATCCAGGATATAGGAAGAGTGTGAGCAGAAAACTTGGAAGCTCACTTCTTCAAACAGGCTTTTTTGACAGGCTTCTTTGATTCCTTGTCTCAAAGACATTTTTGAAAAAAAGATCCCTGAATACAAGCTCAGTCACTCATGTGGTTTACTGTCTGTGTTATGTGTAGCAAAAAGTGTTTTTGAAAGAATTTACCAGGAGAGTCTGGAGCTTGATATTTATCAGCAATTACTTGTAATGTTCTGAAAGATGTTGTCTATAAAGGATACTATAAAGGATAAAGGACCAAATCTAGTCTGTTTATTGTTTGTTTCCCTTTTTAGATACTCCCAGAAGTATAAAAGCCTCCACTGCTACAGCGGAACAGTTTTTTCAGAAGCTGAGAAATAAACATGAGTTTACTATTCTGGTGACCCTAAAACAGACCCATTTAAATTCCGGAGTGATCCTCTCCATTCACCATTTGGATCACAGGTATGTGTGACTGCTGGAGTTTCCTGTGTTTTCATTTTGTATAGTGAAATTAACACATTAAAGAGAACTAAATAAAAGCGAGATAACAGGATTGGTTTAAAACAGCAAGAATAATTTTGCTGAATTATGCAAAATCACAAACACAGGTAATTGAGATCAGCCTAAAAGCAGAAGGAGCTGCTGTTTTTGGTGTTGCTAAGAGCATACAGAAGTTACCATATTCTTAAAACCCATTTATTAATCACTAACTTCTTCATGAGATATCCTACTCAATGTTAAAGTCAAATATACTTCTTAATTGATAAACAGCCACTAAAATACTGTATTCTGTTTCTTTAAGATATTGCTTGGGTTTAGAGTTTAATAGTCTTAACATTTTAATCACAGACAAATGCATTCTTTTTCAACGTGTTTCTTAGACTGTGATAGTTACAGCTATTCTTGGGATGTGTGTTGAATCAAAATGCTATCTGGTATTTCCTAGTTTCTCGCACATGTGAGAAACATGATTTGGGAGCTGGTGGGAGTAGTGAGGAGGAGTGGAGAGGGAGAAGAAAAAATTCATTCATGACACTTAGAATATACATAAATTGCTGCTAAATAATATCAAACAAGTTAAAGTGATTCCTTCCTGAAAGAATAGCTATGGTTCTGACAATGAAAGTTCTTTCGTGTTCATATTTTGAGTACCTACTTTGTGACTATTGGTGGACCTTGGGAAAATTACATAACCTCAATTTCCTCATCTGTAATACAGGGATAGTAATAATACCTTCTTCATAGATTGTTGTAAGGATCAAGGAGTGTATATATGTCAAGTGTTTTACATATATAATGGATTTAATGATCCTATTCAGATGTGAGCAGAAACCTCTTTTCCTGGTTTCCCTTATGAGAGATGGGACAGTCTGGGACTTTGCAAATCTTTGCTAAACACTAAAGGCCAAATATATGTGGAGAACAAAATATAGAAAATCGACTCATAGAATAGGGTTCCTGATCACATTCTACCTGGATTACTCACAGTATTTAAGGTCCCATCGAATTCTATCTTTAACCCCAAAGGATTATGATAATATCACAAGCCGCTCACTTGGGTTCCCCCCCCCACCCCCCGCCAGATTTTGGCTTATTTTTCAGAGGAGGATGTCACCCAAATTTTCACTGAGTAGTTGATGTAGTCTCTTCAAGACTAAGAGCAGGAAAGGGAGAGTTCCACCTCCCAAGGATTCACTAGGATTTTCCCCTTGGTGTGTTTCTGTTCCTTGTCTTCAGGTGATTGGTATCAGGGGAGTTCCTTGCTTACACCACTGTGACCCTGCTCTTCTCCACTGGGCTTTGGGCAACATGATTCACATACAGCAAAGGATATTGTTCCTTCACAGAGCAGCCTGATTTATTGCTGATTATTTCTGTGTGCTAAGAAAATTTCCCCTGTATTTCAGGCACTATATTTTTCTGCCCTGTGGCTTTTTCCCACTACCCCATTTGTAGATATTGAAAGGAAGTGGTGGGGTCCAGCCGCTTCTTGTTCAAAAGCCAATAAACAGGCCAGATGGGTGGAAAGGAAAGTTTGCTTTATTTCAAATGCCAGCAACTGGAAACAGGGTGGAGTCGGATGGACATCTGTCCAAAAACCAGCTCCTCCCCGCTGGTAACCAGTGGGGCAAGAGCTTTTATAGATAGAAGGAGGGGCTGTGTGCAGAGACAGCACAGCCAGCTCTGACAATCATCTTCAAATTGTCATCAGTGGTCTGACCAGTGTCATCTTGGTTGTTTTAAGTGCGGTTAATCTTCAGTTCCAAGGTCCATTTATTCCCATTTCTTTGAGATCGGTTCTCGAAATCGTGGCAGCTCATGTCCAGGGCACAGTCTGGTCATCATGCAGTTAACTTCTCCGCCTGGTGTTTTGGTATCTGTAAGACAGCTCACAGGATATGGCTCAGAATTAATCCCATGAACGGAGGACCCTGGTGGGCTGCAGTCCATGGGGTCGCAAAGAGCTGGACACGACTGAGCAACTTAACTTATGCACTTTCTAGCTGATGCTTCTTACAACAGTTTCAAATTTTTTTTTTAGCACCTTAGACATAGTAAGGGTATATTGATATACCCAGCCTTTATCAGATAGGTCCTTGAAGGCAGATTGGTGTCAGACAGATCCTTACTGTTCCTATAAAGTAGACTTGTTAAAATTATATGTAGGGTTTTATATTGACTTATTTCAATTAAAAATAATGTTTGCTTTTTTCAAATTAGCATAGCAATGTATTTTCATTGTAGAAAAATTGGAATACTGATAAGTATAATAAAGAAATAGGAGAACTCATACAAATCATATCACCCAAAGAAGACTATGTTGAAATTGTCATATTTTAATCCAAAATTTGTCTGTGTATAGAGATATGCCATATTTTGTTTGATCAATTACTTACTTTTGGATACTTAACTCATTTCTTTTTTAACTTTAGTAAATAGCACCAAGATGAATATATTTATGTGAATCTTTGTGCTTAGCTCTCATGCTTTCCAGTTATTCTTGCTAAATTTATTATGAATTATTCATTTATATTATGTATAAATTTGATAACATTTACGTAAATAAATACTATATTTGATATATAGGGTATTTTTATGATATTAAAATCATCTGTATTGGTAATTCACTTTTTCATTTGCTTAGCAGCAGCAGCAACAGTAAGCCAATAATTATTAAAGGCTTATCATGTGCCAGGCAGGGTGCTCAGTGCATTCCGTGGGTTAGTTCATGTTATCATCATGTATTAGATAATGGTCCAGAGTACAGATCTGGAGCTGGACTGTGTACATTCCAGTCATAGCTCTAAGACTGACTGGCTTTGTGACTCATGTAAATTACTTACCTCTTCTGAACCTCAGGTACCTCATCTTTAAATTCATATAAAGTACTTGATAACCCTAGAGAAAAAGTTCCATAGAAGTCGATCATATGGCAAGGTCATTATTCTCATTATCATTTTGCAGATAGGAAAAATAAGCATTAGAGAGATTAAGTTGTCACCATATGAAGATACCAAATAGTTATTGACTATATTCCCCACACTGTACATTGCATTCTCATGACTCATTTATTTTATAACTGGAAGTTCATACCTCTGAGTCTCCTTCACTTATTTATCTCCACTCCTCAAATCCTCTCTACTCTGACCACCACCTGTTTGTATCTATAACTCTGTTTTGTTATGTTTATTAATTTGTCTTAGGTTTAACTTTGCATATATGAATGAAATCATGCAGTATTTGTCTTTCTCTGACTTATTTCACACTTGGCATCATTCCGATTCTTGAGTCCAGAATTTTTTACCTGTCTCCTCTGGCAACCCCTAACCTCATGTTACCCTCACAGACCTTGTGCTTTGTTGTGTTTTTTTCCCTATTATTACTGCTGACAGTATCTTTCTTTCCTTAAGTCTTATTCTCACAGATATCTTTAGTTTCATCATTTCCCGAACACTTGTTTATTCTCTGCTGATTTTTAGAAATGATTAAAATGGTATATAGAGAGATATCTATCTGGGCTTCCCTCGTGACTCAAATGGTAAAGAATCTTCCTGCAATGTGGGAGACCCAGGTTTGATACCCTGGAGAAGGGAATGGCTACACACCCCAGTATTGTTGCTGGAGAACTCCATGAACAGAGTAGACTGGCAGTCTATAGTCCATGGGGTCACAAAGAATTGGACCCAACTGAACAACTAACACTTTCACTTTTACTTTCATAGCGATACCTACAGGACAATAACATAAAAATAAAATGAAATATACAAATTAGGGCAAAGAAACAATAGACACCCAGTTGGGTGATTAAGGAAAGGCCACTATTCTTAATTCTGAGACCAGAGACATATTTCTCCTATGACCTATTTTTTTTTTTTAAGTTAGTCAACTCTTTTATTTTTATTTAACTTTTGAGGTCTCCTGTGACCTTTTGTGGGAAAATGTATTGAATGCCTTTAAAGGAACAAGTTCAGAAGACCTTGTATCAACTGGTTGCATTAAGATACAGCGCACTCAGAAAAATCAAGTCTATAACCATGCCAGTAACATGCATCTGTGTTGAGGGTGTTTGAAGCAATACTGCCTGCAAGGCCTTAGGCAGTGTGCACGAAAGTTCTGTGTAACCACATCTTACTGCTCAAATGACAATAGCACCTCCTGTATGAAATCCTGATAAAATACCTTGTCTTCCAGGCAATAGCCCACATAGATTGCTTTTTCCAGTGTCTTGAAAATAATATTAAATTCAAGTTAGACTTCTCTGATAAATCCCAAATTACAGTTATTCTTTGTTGACAGTTAAGTGAGACTTAGTGTTGAGCATCAGCAGCAATTGAGTTAGAGGAAATACTGACTTTCTTTTTTTTTACAAAAATTGAGGCGCCAACAAGGACATGCCCGAACAGAAGGTACCTATGTTTGCCTATGGTAGCTGAAGTAGGTGATTCCCAAGGGCAGGGCTAGACTTTTCCTGGGGAAGTAGAACAAGTTCCACTCTCAAGTACTGACGGATGAATCCTCTAGAATGTGGAAGTTTTAATTATGCTGCAAATTTGAAACATTACATGTCATACTTACAGTGAATTTTACAAATTAGGAAAAATCGCAAAGAAGGAAGCGAAAATCAGTAATTTTACTCTACTGGGGATACTTTTTACTAATACTTTCAATTATACTTGTCTATTTAAAATGAATAGATATGCTATTTTAAAAATTGAATCACACTGCATATAACATTTTATAGCTTTTTAAAATTTAGCAAAATCTTTTGAGGATTATCCCATGCAAATAAACATTTGCTTATAATCTATTTGTTAAAGACCAAAGAGTATTCCATTGCTGGATGTAAAGGAGGAGTGCAGGAGGAAAAGATTGGGAGTTTGGGATTAGCAGATGCAAACTGTTACATATACAATGGGTAAACAATGACCTGATATACAGCACAGGGAACTCTATTCAATATA